GAAGAAGAAGAAGAAGAAGAGGAGGAGGAGGAGGAGGAGGAGGAGGAGGAGGAGGAGGAGGAGGAGGAGGAGGAGGAGGAGCCACAGGCAGTATCCAGGAAACACTCCCCTCCACAGGCCAGCGCCACCCTCCCTTCTCCAGACTTAAGTCTCCTGGGGAGTGTGACAAGCAGACTGGTTTGAAGTGGCTTCACCATCTTGTTAGGGAAGAGTCCGTATCCTTCCCATTCTGCTTGTGTTCTTCTAGGAAAGAAAAGAAAAAGTTATCTCACTCAGGATGAGCCATGAGAATCCAGGAGGGAACCCCAGTTTTCTTGTATGTCACAGAAAGGAAAAGAGCCCATGACCTGTAGCTGGCTAAGAGCAGTCATACAAGATGATGCTATAGGGAATCCATGTGTTAGTCACCATAGCGACAAGGCTGGAGGGAGATTTGGGGGTGCAAGTAACTAATTTTCTCAGAGTGGCTATCTTTACTCATTGGCTGAGTACAATCTTGTCCCTCACAGCGTTGCTACAAAGTTCTAATGACTGTGATGTCTGTGAAGGGCAAGCGCAGGCCCTGCAGACAGAGGCTGTCAAATAAATAGTAGCTGCTGTCATTACATACTTAATACAGCCAACTGCCAGCATCTGAGTCCCTATCTGGAGCAACAGGCATAAGCTGTGCTTGCAAGAATAAAGGTGTGTTCTCCAGGCACTCACAGCAACCTCTAAAACGTCAACAGAGGTGACGGATGGATGCATGCCTCTCTTCTGGACTAGAAAAGCATCTGGCTGCAGCTGCTTAGTCACACAGAGTGACTCAGGACCCTAGGGGCCCTCCAACCTCTGGGGATGGCAAAACAGCTCTACTCTTTATCTTTGCTCAAACTCTGACCCAAGATTTATGGGAAAATCCCTAAAGGGCAAAAAACACCAGCACGCTGCTATTCAGTGTTTTCAACCCTGGAACGCAGCAGACTGTATGTTTGAGGCAACACACCAACCTGCTCTACTCCACCTAAGAGGCATAACTAGCTGCCTCCCTGCCCTTCCCTCTGGACATACACACATGCTCCTTTGGATAATGTCACTGATCTCTGAGCTTCCACACTGATTACTCCTATCCCTCAAGTGTATCAAAACCACTGAGTGTTCTTACTGTGAAAGCACACATCGAATGGGAGCTACAGTTCATCGGGGGCTTGGAGAAGGCAGCGGCTGACATGCACCCGAGCAATACCCTTCTCCTATCTTGTTTCACTCCCATGATGCCTTTAGGAGGTAGTATCAATGTGGCAGCTAACAAACCCAAACCAGACACTTAGAGAATAAACCTACAGACACCATGGAGCTGGTCATAACAATCACTGTAGCTAACACTTGACTTTACTATGTTCTCATTTTCAGAGACTTTACATGAATAAACTAATCCTCATACAGGTCCTAGGACCTTAGGGACCATAATGAGCTCACTTAATAGAGGAAGAAATGGAAGCCTAGAGAATCAAATGGTTCAAGAACCCAAAGATAATAACTAGAAGCTCTGTGTTTGGAAGCCAAGTTATCCTCTCAGCTGGAGGTGAGATGTAAACTAAGGTCTGACTGACTCCAGTGTACATTCTTACTGGCCTGTTAGCTTTACATGGTTTCTTCCACCCCTAGAAAACTTACCTGTCGGCTGTGTCCTGGGCTGGATATACTTGAAGGACTGGATTGTGACAAAGCTAGGCTGCTATTTTTTCCAACCTGAAAGACACCATGAACCCCTATTCAGACACGGAGGCAACTTGGGAAGGACCTTCTGATGCCGTATTTTGTCAGGGCAGGAGAGTAGACCAGTACCACATGCCTTACTCCCTCAATTCCTCAGAATGGGTACTTCCAACTGACATGGCAGGAAAAGGGACAAGAGTTTATGGGGGCTTGGAGCATGGCCCTCTCTGAGATAAAGCAGTGATGAGAGCTCTTAATTTTGCTCTTCAGATGTGCATACTGCAGGAGGCAGACCATGTCACTCTCTACCCCAAGAGCCCACAAGCTCATGGACCTCTGGTCACAGTGCAAGCCCACTTTTTGTATTTAACCCTGGTTCCTCTGGTGTGCTACAGATAAAGCACTAGGTTTGTCTGGTTAGGAAATCCCACAGTCAGCCCCTTGTTCTTCGGAAAGCCAGCGATCTTGCTGGGATTCCCTCATATGTGCAGGGCAGGAGGAGAGGGGTACTGTTCCCTGCCTGGTAGGGTTCCCGGGATGGCAAGCTTGGGGACATACGTAGCCTTTCTGTGTAACTGTCTTTGGCCCCTGGTTGGGTGAACTCTGAGGGGAGCTGACAACAGTCCTGTGACCCCAGCTCTTTTGCAAAGGCAGTTCTTGCCCCCAACCTCAGAACAGCTCTTCCACTATCCTCTTCCCGCTCTTTGCACATAGGCACATACCTGTGGTTCACAGTACTGCTCTGTGTCCAATTAAATACCTTAGCAGAAAATTTTAGCTTTTTACTTCCCAGATATAAAAAGAAGAAACTGCAAGTTGTCTGCAAGGCACACAGCTTCATTTTGGATTTCTTTTTAGAGACAGGATCTCTTGTAGCCCCGACTAGCCTGGAATTCACTATGTAGCAGAGGATGACCTAGAACTCTTGATTCGCCTACCTTCATTTTCGAAGGGCTGGGATAGATTACACGTGGACCATTGATGCCTGGCTTTCATCTTAGGTTTCTTGAGCTCTCTTCTCTGCCTTCTAACAGAAGTGACAACAGATGCCAAAGGTCTTTTCCTTTCCTAATACTTGAAAATGCCCAGTGGTGAGTCTAGCCAAAGCTGTTTCTCAGAGGCCTGATGACAAGTATTGAGCTATCACCATATTGGGGGTTGGGTGCTGCCTGGCCTGCAGGCAGTTGTCAAGGCTCTCCTGACACACACTCTCTGGGGAGTTTTATCTGCTCTTTCTCCTGCTAGTTTTGCCGACTCATCACCCTGACTAAGCATTTCAGACAATCTGGGAGCCAACAGGCCAATATTCCATCCATAGGCACTGCAGAATTGAGAGGGCCAAGAGCCTGGGTTAAGTAAGTCCCAGCCTCACTATTTATCTGCAGTGTGACTATGGGCACCTGTAACCTTCCTATGTCTTGTTTGGGTCATGTATTAAATGGGTTAAGAACAGGTTAGGTATTGAGTTCCTGGATCTGAAGTGTTTGGGGACAGGAGCCATCAGTCCACTGCCAGAACTTGATCTAAAATGGGAAAAGCAATATGACTTTGCTGTACCAGGGGAGGCCCGCAGGCTGGTGGAGTGGCCTAGCAACCTGTTGGAAACACAAACTCCTTGATCTTACTCCTAGCCTGCTCACTTTCAGGCTGCCTTTTCACAAGATTCCTAGGTGGATTGTGGGTACATATCTGAGTCTGCAGAGGATACTGGCTAATCTCCCGGTAGGATCTGGAGGGTGCTGGCCGTATAATACTTTGGAGGACCAGTGCCTCACCTTGGCCAAGGCTGCAGCTGTCTGGCCCGTGCTCGTGTGGGTACTTGTGAATACCCCTCAGGAGGTGCTCTTTTTGGGGGATTTTCTAAGTGTCATGTATGGTGACACAAAATATTAAAGCAGTGGTTCTCAACGAATGGGGCACAGACCCTTTGGGGGTCAAACAACCGTTTCACAGGGGATGCATATCAGCTACCCTGTATATCAGATGCTTGCATTATGATTCCTAAGAGTAGCACAATTATAGCTATGAAGTAGCAACATAAAAATGATTTTGTGTTTGGGGTCATCACAACATGAGGGACTGTACTAAAGGGTCACAATATTAGGAAGGCTGAGAACTGCTGCATCAAACCATCTTCTATATCTCCAGAGTCCCTATCCCTAAATGGGCTGGCCTTAGAGTCTGGTGTTAGCTCCACGGTGGGGCTACTCTTGCTTGCTTCCACAAGAACAGCTCTCAAAGCCAGCTCAGAGCTCGCTGAGGAAACTAAGGCCCCGCCCTCCAGCTCTCAGCTCCCATCTGGTTGGCCCAGAGTTGTAGAGAGCTGCCAACAGTAGCTCTCTCCCAGTCTGAGGAGATAGCCTGCCTTGGGAACTGGAGCAAAGGTCAAGGAAAGATACAGCTATTCTTGGGTCATTCACACCTTCTAGTCTCCCTACCGGTAACCTGGCACTGAGTACTCCTTTGCCACTGGGTGCAAGGTGTAGTCTTGCATTAGGAAGGGACCAGCTACATCATCATATATTAGGAAGAGAGGGCAGCTTGACGAGGTGAGGACAATCACCTGGGAGCTGGATGCTCAGGCTGCCACTCCAGATGGTACCTGGCATCACTTAACCAGCCTGGGTTTCAGGCTCGTCCTGAGGGGATTCCAACAGATCAGATCAAACTGCTTAGCAACAGAACTCTTTAATGAAGTAGGCCTCGTATAAAACCTCAAGATATGAAAACAGACAAAAGGAATGGGGGAACTCAGAGACTCTTTGTGCCTCGGTTTACCCAGCTGTTAAGTGGCGGCCATTTTGTACCGCCCTGTGCTGGGTTGTTTTGAGGACGGAAGGATGTGATTACTGTAAAGTGCTTAGCATCGGGACTAGCAAAGTCCTACCAAGAACTCTCGGAGCCTACGGGGAACCCGGGAAAAGGAGTCACACTTGTGTTACCTGTCTGAGCCACCTGGCCAAGCAAGGGCGCTGCCCAGCTCCCCCTGCCCCCCAGAGCCAATGAAGGCAGTGCCAGGAGCTCCCTTACCTGCCGAGAGGAGGTGCTGTTAACGGGATCGGGCACCGGTGCAAGAAGGCTGGGTGGGTTCTTTTTGTGAACGCTATTCATACCAGGCATTTTAGTGATCTTACAGGCTTTGCTACTGGAACTTGAATTCTTACGCTTTTTTCCTTCTGATTTGTCAAAAGAGAGGGGCAGAGAAGACACAGCATTGTGTGAGGCCAGAGAGAGGTCCCCTGCATGGAGTGCGAGGGAGGGCACGGAGAGGGGACAGGAGCCACTGCTGCCACCCACAGCGCCCACCTGTCTCACTATGTCCATGGGGCCGCTGGGCAGTGAGGTCCGTCCTGAGGGCTCCAGCTTGGCACTGAGTGGGCTTACCCCGTTATTTGAGTTGTGCACAGACAGACTGTTATAGGGAGGGGCTGCCTGATAGGAGTTCAAAGCGGAACTGGCATTCAGAACGCAGTTCTTTTTGTGGGGCCCTGATGACAATGGGGAGGAGAGGGAAGCCTGCAAGGATAAGGAGGGGGAGGGAGTCGAGGACTGCGGCTTCCTCTTTTTGTTACTTGGAGATTCGTCGCTACGAGCGGACAGGTCTTTCACTTTTGAGGATTTGCTGGTTTTGGTTTTGGATGGCTTGTGGGATGGGGAAGGAATGACAGCTGGTATCGGGGACACGGCGGATGGGGCCTTGAAGGTTGAGTCCATGATGCTGAGGGTTGCAGCCACATGGGGGAAAGCTGTGGTGTGGGACATGAGGACGCGTGGGTCCGGCGATGCCACAAAAGCTGCGTCTGAGAGCATGGCTGATGTCATTATGTAAGAAGAGGTGAGTCTCGAGCTGATGGGAGCTGAAGGAAGATACACAGCACTGGGGTTGCTGAAAGGCTGCAAAACGGATGCTGGAACGGGGGTGGTGATGTGGGCTGCTGGCGAGGGCATGGGGCTATCTGCCGCAGGAGGGATCTTCCTAAACACGAGAGAAGAGCCAGAGAGAAACAGTGAGACATCGGGTTGGCATCGCCTGGGAGGCCGGGTAAGCTTTGATCGGCAGGGCTACAGAGGACACCCAGCAGGACCAGACTATGGAGAATGAAGCCTTTTGAAGGATGATGATCTGACGAATGGCCCTTCCCTACGCTGCCCGCTAAAGCAACATCCGCAACTATCTTAATACTTTCAGAGCCTGTTCTCCACACTTAGCTACTCAAGACTGGCTCGTTTGGGTTTATGACTAAAAGGCAAATGATGTTAAGACTATAGCTATCCTGAGCAGTCTCCCCCACCTCACACACCTTTGACAGCAATAAAAGTTGATGAGGAAAAATGGCCTGGGCCACCTGGACATGTCCACCTCTGCCTACTGCAACCTCTTTCGTTCCTGTTTCCTCCACACTGCTTTTGGCTGGACCCATTCTGGAAAAGGCCTTTCCCCCACTTGTCAGCATCCCCTTGTCATTGGTACTCAATGCCTCTGGCTACTCCAGAGAGAGAGGTGCTTTCATTTTAGCTCATGGTGACTGGATCCTGTGGTGTCCATGGAAAGTCAGGAGCTTGGAGAAATCATAATATCAAGTTGCTCATACTTAGGGCAACTTGGTTTTTTTTTCCCCTTGTCTTTCTCATTCTACTTGGTGGGGGGGGGGGTTGGCATGAGGCTGCCCTTCCACAAGTCTCCCTGTTCTTGGGCTGGGAAAAGGTGAGCATCCTGGACACTGGTGTACCTGGAGGGGACCAGGAGTTTAGGTACAGGATATGAGCAGAAGAACCGCATGGGAGCAGGGAGAGATGGGAAAAACCGCTGTTTTCTTGGTCGGCTTTCTTAAAACTGGCATCAGAGTTGGGGTGGAACCGCCTGAGGGGAAAGTCCTTGGAACCAATCCCAACATCAGGTAAGGTGCCATCCTTAAGGCTTCTGCATACTTGTTCTTTTAGACAGAGCCTCACCACATTGCCCCAGGTGGTCTTGAACTTGTGGTTCTTCTTGCCTCCACCTTCTGAGTGTAGGATTATAGGTATGCGGAAACACCTAGCTATAAGACCCTTTTGACTTGGGTTGGGAATGACTCTATCGTACACTTCCAACTCACTTCCATCTTACAGCTTAGACCCAAGCCGCTGCTACTCTTGGGACCTGGAATGGCAGGAGGAGGGGGTTGCGGGGGTGGGGTGGCATATCCTGCTCCAGATTTTGTAAGAAAAAAATGATCTTAGGAGCAAGATGCTTTCAAGTTCATTCTTATTTTTTGTAGCGCTCTCTGCTTGTTCCCCAGTGTCTGTTTTCAGGAGCTTTCCTTCTCAGAAGCAGCACCAGGAGACAAGCTTGAGGCACAGAGAAGGGTGGGGCTTGCACAGCCCCTTCTCCTCTGCCAGCCACTTCTGGCTGATCTGGAAACCCTATCCTAGCATTCCCTTCTGAAGATCACTCGTCTGCTGCTTGTAGGAGAGCCTGTGGCTTCCATGTCTAGGGTGGAACCCAGCGGCATCCTTGAGTACAGAAGCAGAGTGTCTTTGAAACTGTCAGACCAAGGAGATCAAATACAAGCGAAGAATGTTGCCAGCCCCATGGCAGCCATGATGGCATCTGAGAATTTCCTTCCTCTCAAGCCCATGGTACATCAAAGCTCCTGTCGGCCCTATAAACAAGATGCTGCACAGATACTTTTGGCCATGGATGAATGAGTGTATGGACAGATGGATGGATGGAGAAGTGGATGGGAAAGCAGGTGATCTCAGCAGCAACACAACTGTATTGTCAGGGACTATGCATGCTGGGAAGGGGTTCCCATGGAGGCAAACCATGGAGGTCTGCACACATCCTTAGAACTGTCTGGCCCTGCATAAGGCTTTCCTGACAGGCCAAGGGCACACTCTGGGAAGCACTAGCAACTGCCGTGCCCCTGACTCCTGGCTTATGTTCTGACCATCTAAATTCAGAGAATTAGACACAGTGGTCGAGATTTGACCATGACTTGTAATAAGGGTAATTTACAAGTACCAGGCAAGTTAATTTACTTAAGGGGATGGGGCTTCAGTTGGGGACCTTGAATGAGATACATCTTATTGTCCCGGTTTACATTTTTCTCATTAAATAGTATAAATACTTCCAATTGTGCAGACAGGCAGCATTGAAGTCCTAAACCTTACTTGGCCTCTGCCCAAGATTGGAATGGCTGCTACTTCTGGTATACGTTCTAGATCTTTCTTTCCTCTCCTCTTTAACCCTAACTGGTAAAGGAGAGGTGGGAGGAAGAGCTGTCCCTGCAAGCCTTTCCCCCATGGTAAGCAGTTTTGATGTTTCCTAGGTGCCCAATGGCAGTGGGTTTCACCTTTGCTGGGCTGCCTGGCTTAGGCTTTGCACATGGCCTACAGGAAGTCCCATATAAAAGCCCAGAGATGTGATCAAATTCCTGACAGCTCCCATCCTCCCATGCCAGCTGGCGTGGAGATCCAGATGCTGACCTGGCTGAAAGAGAATACTGTGTTGGCGTCTCCTGATGCAGAGTTAAATGCTTGTTAAAGAAAAAAGAGTCTTGGCCGTTCCTTTTCTTCCTAATGTCTTCCATGCCCCCATCGGCTGCCATCCCTCCAGGTTCGGGCCCTTCAGGGCCTGGAGTTTGGGCAGCGAGGTTGAGAGGGCAGCGGGGTGCTACGCTCTCCAGAGTTGACACCCAGGCAGCCCCAATGTTGCTCAGTGACAGCAGATTGGTTAGGCAAGTCCTGAACAGAGGGGAGGGACCTGATGCCCTGTGGCTCGGGCTTCTGTGCCTGAGGAGGAAAGCAATATCGAGCTTGAGCTGACAGAGCACCAGCGAGTGAAATACAGATCAACACATTCCTTCCACGTGCCGGGGATGTACACTTCTATAACACAGGAGAGCAGAGAGCTGGGAGAATCACCAGGGTTGGCTGCCATATTTGGAAGTTAAGGCAGAGGCCTAGGCCACCAAAATGACCAAGAACTACTTAATCCCTAAGCAGGACTTTCTAAGATTCTAAATGTAATACAAACAGAAAATTAATGATGCCTTGTCGACCAGCAGGGCAGTCACTCACACAGGAAGACATTATAAGCTTCTCTTGTGGCCCTTTCCTAGTTAATATACCAGCATCTGTCCTGAGTACCCTGTGAGTGCTTAACAGAAACAATGGGGACCCAGGTCTATGTTTGCCAAGGGGCTAAGATGACAGAGCCCCCCTGGGAGAGGAGCAGGCTGTGAGTTCTGCTTCCTCTTCCTCTGTTTCTCGGGATGCCCTGTGGCCCCTCATGGGCCTCATAGGGCAGGCTGAGGATCGCAACTGTTATTGAGATCCAGACGGATGCGATCCACCCTTTTATTGGAATATACACTCAAGCTCCCTTAGGAGGAGTGTGGGGGGTGGGGACATTCAGAGGTTGGTGACATGGCCTAAAGGTAGCTTCTTAAGGGTCACGGTTAAGAGGGTCCAGGCCTACTAAACGTTCCCAGGAGCATTCTAGGTTTTTCCCCTTTCTGTACATCCCCCATAAAATGTAAGTGCACTGGGAAATGTTGGAGAATAAACAATGGATTATAAGCTGGACTTTAGAGGAGAGAGAGAGAAGGAGAGGTGAGGAGAGGGCCCTAGGGAGATGGGGAGGGCCAAGGACAAACTTAACCAACTTCACAACATTGCTCAGAATCTGCCCTATTGACAACTCTACATAGTTTTTAATGAGGACAGCAACTAGCTAGAAATTTGTGTGAAATCATTGTGAAAGTTTTTACCATTGTTCCTGAACCATTAGCATCACAAACAGAAGCACATTCTTAACATCTTTAGACAATCTGAATGGTCATTAAAAAAAAAAAAAGGCCTATAATCCTATGGAATAAACTTGATTTTACCTTAAGATCCTTTTCATTTGGTTTAGAAGATTACCAATACAACAACCATCTCCCAAGAAGACAAAGAAAACAGCCCATTCCCGGTGTTTCCAAAATGCTATTAATCAAAGGTGACCTTTCGGAGTCAGGAATCCTGACTTCAGGCTCATTTTGGTCTATGGCAAGCCAAGTACTGGGGCTCCTCTATAAGGCTTAGGCAAGGGTGAGGCGGCTCTCATCTTAGACCGCGAAGAAACCGGTGCTCACTTACTTCCACATCTGCGAGTTCAAGTGTTTTTCTACCATGGAGTTCAGTGCGAAGCGAAATCGGTCCCATCGCCTATCAAACACATAGTATCCGCGTCCCATGAGGCGACTCCCGAATGAGCAGAACTGTGAGGGAGAAAAACATTTTAATTTTGATTACAGGTTAATAAGCTACATAGAGAAAAATAACATTTGCATAAAAACACACAGGGGTACCATTTTACTCCAAAGAAAAGAAGCAACTGGTACTGAGGCCAAAAATACTTCTGTGATGTTGTAGTTTGAGTTCTGGATTCCCAGCAGAAGTTCACACTTTAAGCCGGTGATTGTGCCATTCAATTTTCTGTGGCATGGAAGGCCACACTCTTTACTTCAGGATGGAGCCAGTGGTTTAGGATAGAAAACAAGAGAGCAACAGCAGCCAGGGGGCCTTTGCAGCTCTGCCTGTTCATCACAATTCCCATTATCTCTATGAACCTGGGGTTCTCTGCCTCCATTCTAGGGGTGAAAAGGCTGGTTCTCCCCATCTGATGCCTTAGAAACTTCCTGCAGGTGAACTGCTGTTCCATGTCAGTCCCAATGGCATCTGCACACCTTTCCTTTTTTAAAAGATATATATCTGTGTGAGAGCGTGAGACTCCTTGAACTGGAGTTACAGACAGTTGGGAGCTGCCATGTAGGTGTTGGGAATTGAACCTGGGACCAGTGGGAGAGCAGCCAATGCTCTTAATGGCTGGCATCTCTCCAACCCCTAAAACACGTTTTTGTTTGTTTGTTTGTTTGTGTTTTGCTTCATTCTTACTGGAAAGGGTCTTACTATGCAGCTCTGGTTATCCTAGAACTCACTATGAAGACCAAGCTGGCCTTGAACTCACAGAGATCTTTCTGCCTCTGCCACATCTGCATGCTTCATCTGCTCTCATAAAATGCCCAGGAATGCATCACAGTTCTGAGCTCTTACTTACCCTCTGCCTGCTGTTTCCCTCTTTGGAAACTATGATCCTATCCTTTGATGCTGTGATGGTTTGCATATGCTTGGCCCAGGGCATGGCATCATTAGGTGTGGCCCTGCTGGAGTAGGTGTTTCACTGTGGGTGTGGGCTTTAATACTCTTGCCCTAGCTGCTTGGGAGTCAGTCTTCCACTAGCAGCCTTCAAATGAAGATGTAGAACTCTCAGCATCTCCTGCACCATGCCTGCCTGGATGCTGCCATGTCCCAACGTTGATGATAATGGACTGAACCTCTGAACCCGTAAGCCAACCCCAATTAAATGTTGTCCTTATAAGAGTTGCCTTGGTCACGGTTAGGGTCACGGCAATGAAACCCTAACTAAGATAGATGCCCAATTTATAATTCTCATTGCTAATGGCCTCATCTGACTGTTCCTCCCACTGTGAATACTGATGGCACATCTACTATACATTGTATGAAATCTGTTGCCTGTCTCTTCTTCCTCCTTCCTCTTTCTTCTTCTCTAAAACTTCCAGCCCTACCTTTCGCTTCCACTGCCCAATCACAGGCTCTAGCCTTTATTTCACCAGTTAACATAGGGAGAAGGTTCACATGGAGTCGCCTGAGTATCTGATCCACTCCTCATTGCGGGCAGCCCCTCTTCAGAAAGCAGAATTAGCATCAAAATACAAACAGCACCAGGGCAATCCACAACAGAAATCACTTAGACTCATCATATATACACAATTACATATGTGATGGCTATCAGTGCTTAAAGTGTAGGGACTTCATTCTCTTCCTCCTCAGTGTAAGAATCAAAGAGATTAGGAACTTTAAAAGGGGGAACAGGATTTTGGGAGCTGAGGCAAGAGAATGATGAGTTCAAAGCCACATAGTGGGACTATCTTTAGGAAAACAAAAACAAACAAACAGAACCACCTTTTTTTTTTTTTAAAGTGGACTGAAAAATCCCACAGAAATGTTTGAAATAAACCACTGAATTTAATACTCACGGCTGAAATATTTGGGCATTTAATAAACACTGATTGTGATGTGGGACACCTGGAGGCCAGTGGACAGAAATGCCAGAAGCAACCTCCGAGAAGGTGACATTTAGTGGGTCTAGAGCTCAGGAAAGTCTGCAAAGGACTCTATAATTCAAATGGTGCTTCCCCATCCCCCAGGACTCCAGCAGCTCCCTGGCTGCAAGCCCAGACTCAGTGCTGGACTGGCACCCAATCCGAGAAGGCATCCTGGAGTGGCCTTTGGAACCATTTGCAGGAGGAACTGCAGGGTCTTCCCTTTGTTCTTTGTTAAAACCCTGCTACCCACAAAATCTGATACCACAATTACTTACTACAGAATGTTCTTACTGACCAAGGAGAAAAACATACATGGTAACTCTTCAGCACAGAAGCTGGTCTTCACCTCTCTGTGGGAGCTGTTTCTGGTGTAACTATCACTTCCTTTATCATCCCAATTGCTAAGGATACACTGAGCGAGGGTTTATTACACACACACACACACACACACACACACACACACACAAAGCAAACAAACAAATCATGGTGGGTTTTCCATTTTGATCAGCAAAACATTAAGGGCCTATAATGCCCTGTGAATGTGGCTAATCTCCTATAGCAGCTTGCCCTGTGGAGAGATTTCTTGATGCTCTCCTGATCCTGGCTTTTTGGGACTTTTAGACTTGGGAGGTGGAGGCCCCTTTGGTTTTGGCTACCAGCATACCTAATACCGCTTAGGTTTGAGGTCAGATAGCCAGGGAAGCTGGCTCTGTGTGCCTCGGGCGGAGCTGCAGATGCTCACTGTGGCAGACCCTGCTGCCATTGTCCTCTGCAGTGTCCTGCCTTACTTGGCCTTGCCTTCTCTTCGCTAACACAGCCACACTTTTGTCTTGATGCCATGTGTGCAGCAGTTACAGAGAAGACGCATCTCTTCCCAGACCTTGGAATGAGGCACAGATGAGTCACCACACTCCTTTTCCTCTCTGCCACCTGCCAGTGTAGCGGTAGACATGTCACAGCAGTGTTGCACTGCGTACGTGGAGACATCTGTCGGGGTTTCACGGGATGATCTTGCTTCGTAAGTGAAAAAATGTATCATCTTGGAAGACCCCCTTTTTTGTGTGTCCCCCTTCTCTGCTTAGAATGGCAGCAGGTGACAATGTGACACAGGAGCTGTGGTCAATGTATGAAAATGTTAACAGCAAAGATGTGTAAGGACGTAGTAGAGACAGGACCCAGGCGGTAAGGGCACCTGCCTCTAGACTTCTTGCCATGTAAGATAATGAAATGTTCCTGTGAGTACAGAGGCACTGGGTTTTCTACAACTGCGGACAAAATCACCACAGCTGGCCCCTCACTACTTCAGTACCGGCAAAGTCACAGGTTACAGGTGAACCACAGGTCCCCGGCATCTCCAGAAATGGGAAGTGGCACACGTACACGTGTGGAGGAGGAAAGACCAACCTTGTCTTCCAGCAGGATTGAGTTCACTTGCAAAGCTCCTGAGATCTACAGTCAGAGCTAATCCTGAAGGCTCAGGCTGGCAGCAGAACAAACCACCATGAGGCCCCTATTACCAGGGACACAGCACTGGGCTCTGTGACTGTCACACCAGCCGCTTCCTCTCTCAGAGGACTATAAGGCAAATGTGAACAGGCTTCCAACTGATGCCTTTGTTTCCCCTTATGACGCCAGTGATCATCTCAACTGTTAAAGTCATTCCCTCAAACGTCTTTCATTGATAAGCAATCACAGTGATGTGAAACACCCTACCACTGGCTCTGTTGCGATATGGTCACAGTAACAACAGTCAGACATAGAGCCACAGGGAAAATGATGAAAGCTTGGTACCTGTGTGGTTGGTAAGACAGCTTCTAGGGCAGTTGCATCTGGCTAACCCTGGACCAGGGGCTCTGTTTTAGAGATGTGCAAGGTCAGAAGGTTGGCTCCCAAGAACATTTCTATAGACACTATTTCTCAAGCATTCTTAAGGGATTATAGCCAGTGGGGAGCCCCTTCATTTCATTCCATGACACTCAAGGACATCTCTTACGCCATTACACCTTTGGGAAAGCCTTCGGATGAGGCTATACCCTGCAGTCCTTTCCTTAGGAATACAGGCCTCTGTTGCCATCACCAAGGGGCCTTCGAAGCAACAGGGGACACCATGGAAGGAACAGAGGAGGCCTACCGCAAGAGGTCTGGGGTGGTGCGTGGAGAACTGACAGTCGAGCTTCTCAGATTCGTCGGCTCCGTCCATCTCCCCTTCATCACTGGACAGTCGGCTGGCAAGGTCGCCTCCAGCTGGGGGGAGAGGGGGCTCTGGAGTGTAGCCGCTGTGGTTTGAAGATGTACTGCTGCTTATGCTATTTGCAGATGATGGTCTGAGGGTGAGAGGGGAGAACAGAGAGAACAAGTTATCCTGAGGAAATCGGATCCGCCCATTTCATGCCTCCGAAAAGCAGCCCTGCCACGATGTCGGGGAGGGTGAGCCCATGGCAACTTTCGAAAGGGAAAAATTAAGCTGCAGGGTTGATAGCTCTCCACACGGACCCATTACCATTAGGAGCACAGTGCTGTCTGGCTTGCTGCCTCTGGAGTACAATGAAAGCCCAAGGGGGAACCCCTAGTGGGAGCAGGAGGATTGTGACCTGTGAACTTATGCAGAGTCTAGTGACCATCTTCTGGGAGTTCATCTACAAACACTCACCCAAGATCAAGTATTACCAACATTTTAGTTTATGTCCTTCCAGACTTCCTTAGTGTGCATACATGAATTTAAAAAAAAATTAAGAAGATTTGAGACAGGATCTCATGTATCTCAGGTCTTGAACTCACTAAGTAGTCAAGAATGACCTTGAACTTCTGAGTCTCTTGTCTTTACTTCCAGAGTATCTGAGGTCCCAGGTGTGTGACACCCTGCCCGGTCAATGCAGTGCTGGGGGTTAAAGTCAGGGGCTTAGAACACATTAGGCATGTACTCTATTCCCAGCCATGGAAACAGATTTTAAAAAAAAAATTATTATTTTGGGCTGGTGAGGTGGCTCAGCGGTTAAGAGCACCAATTGCTCTTCAGGAGGTCATGAGTTCAAATCCCAGCAACCACATGGTGGCTTACAATCATCTGTAATGAGGTCTGATACCCTCATATGGGTGTCTGAAGACAGCTACAGTGTACCTTGGGCTGGAGCAAGTGGGGTCAGAGAAAGAGGGAAAAGAGAAGGGGGAAAAATGATTATTTTATTTTACGTGTAGGGGAATCTTGTCTGCATGTATATCTATCTGTTCATCACTTGTGTGCCTGGGTGTCTGAGGGGCCTTGTCAGGCATAGATGGGAGAGGAGGTCCTTGGTCCCGTGAAGGCTGGACGCCCCAGTGTTGGGGAATTCGAGGGTGGAGAGGTGGGAGTGGGCGGGTGGGTGGGGTTATATTCTTATAAAAGCAGGAGGAGGGGGGATGGGATAGGGGGTTTCTGGGTGGGGAGGGAAATGGGGAAAGGGGATAACATCTGAAATGTAAATAAAATAGCCAATAAAAAATTAATTTCAAAAAAGAAAAAAGAAAAAAACTGGATCCTGGTCTTACAGATGGTTGTAAGCTGCCATGTGAGTGCTGGGAATTGGACTTGAACCCAACCCTAAACATTTGTTTCTAAATTTTCTAAAAGGCTTTTGGGTAGTAGCTCAGCCATCATGGCAAACCTGCCTTGTCCTGCAGGATAAAGATAACCTGGATTTTGTTGATTGCATCTTGGTTATACAGGAAAATTGCTTTTTGTTTGTTTGTTTTGTTTTGTTGCTTTATGAGACAGGGTCTCTATGTAGCCCTGATTGGCCTAGAATTCGCTATGTAGAATGAGCTGGCCTCAGACACACAGAGATCTGCCTGCCTATGCTCCAGAGTGTCTGGGTTAAAGACATGCACCACCTAGCCTGGCAAAATGCAAAACCTGTAATGTAGGCTGGGCTTGAACTCATGATTTTACTTGCCTACGCCTCTTCATCATATCCCCCTGGCAAGTGCCACAACAGCCAACTATTTTCACTTTTGCAAGAAGTCTTTACAAGTGAAAAGTCATGGTGTATGTAAGTCAAAAGACACTAACAAGAATACATTACAATAAAACTGTAACATATTAATATAACAACTGTTAGAATCAGGTTAGGGAAGTATTCATCAATATATCACTGCTTTCCAGCATGTAGGGGAATTTTCATGACAAACATTGAGAACATAGAAACAAAAAAAGAGAGTTAGCATCATCATCGTCATATGTGTAAAAAAAAGGGGGATTGAAGAGGTACTGTTTTCTTTCTTTTCCCCTGTTTTACAGAGATACATTACAGCAATAGGGTCTCATGTAGCCTAGACTGGCCTTGAACTTGCTGTGTCATGGAAGATAACCACGACTGTTATCTTGCTACCTCCCAAGTGACGGGAGGCCAGGCATGGGCCACCACACAGTTAATATATGTGCATCTTGTGAAATCATTCCTTCAATCAAGTTAGCTAAAAAATTAACATGTCCATCATTTCTTAGAGTCATATTTCTACTGCCTACTAGGGGTTGAACTCAGGGCTCTATGCCAACTAGAGAAGAGTTCGCCCACTAGCTGGAACTCCTTCTTTCCCAGTTTTATTTTGGGACAGAGTCTTATCAAGTGACTCAGGTTAGTCTTGAACTCAGTCTTGAGCACAGTTGCTCTTTTTTTGTTTGTTTTTACAGTGACACTCAGATCTGTAACACAGTCTTATCAGCTAGAGTTGACCTGGACCTGCCCTGGCTCCTGTCACTCCTCCACCTCTCAGCCAGTCACTAATGCTCTAGTCTCTCTTCCTTCCCTTGGCCTCCCTTCCCTGTGCCTCCCTTCCTTTCAGTTTATTTATTGGCGGTGGGGAGCTTTACCATAGGCTCTTGCTATGAGATCAGGCTGGTCTCATGATACGCCTTCCTCACCTTCCTGCTGCTGGAACTACAGGCCCACGCTACTATGCCCGGCTTCTGCCTTCTATTTCTGAGTTCAACTTTTTAAAAGAGTCAACATAAAAGTGGAAACATACAGTGCTATTTGGGCCTGTTTTGGTTAACGGAACCCTCTCAAAGTTTACTTATGTTGATGAAAATAGCTAGACTTCCATCTTTTGTGTCTGAATAATATTCCATATGTTACAAGCAACAACCTTTGTTTTGTTTTTGTTTTGATTTTTTTTTTTTAAAGACAGGGTCACATGTAGATCAGGATGGCTTCAAACTCACTCGGGAGCTAAGAGTGTCCCAGAACACCTATTTCTCCTGCCTCTACCTTCAATACCTTCAAAGTGCTGGGTTGACAGGCAGGTACCTACAATGCCCCATGCCCCACAATGGACTTTTCTCTTCACTATGTAGCCTAAGCTATCCTTTAAGTTAAAAGCTTCCTGCCTCAGCCTTTCAAGTGCTGGAATTATAGGTATGCACAGCTATACCTAGCTCCCAATTTTTTTTATGTATTCACCTATAAGCAGACACAAGTGTGTTCATGTCTGTGTTATAGTGGAAAATTCTGTAGTAAATACCAAACTGTAAGACTATCCATGAAATGAGATATAGAAATCACACACAACCATTAACTTCATTCCCCAGATTCCACAACAAAGATACTTAACGATTTTTTTTTTAAAGGGGAAGAGAGTCAAATAACACAGAGCAGCAGAAAAATGATGATAGCTACCCCATACCCATGTAGGCCTTTTTAAATTGTGTTTGCTAATGATTGGCTTAGAAAGGGGTGTGCACACACACACAACAGGGCAGGAGGAACACAAGAAATCTCTGTCACATGTGTGTGATGGGTTGGGCAGGGTAAATATAGGAAATATCTGTCATTTCAATAAAATTTTTCTATCATCCTAAAACTGCTTTAAAAGATAAAAGGTGTTTCAGAGAACCAGTGAAGAATACACATGGAAAGTGGTCTAGACTTCAATTGGACCATGAAGTCGGACACACTGGGTGGCTGTGGCCATCTTGCTATTGGACTCAGAGGAGGAAGCCCTAGGAACTAGAGTTGGTAAAAGTTTCAAGCAAAATGCAAAGAGGGCCAGTGAGATGCAGTGTTCAAAAGCACTTGCTGTGGTGACCTGGGTCCAATATCCAGAAGTCATGTAAAGGTGGAACTAGAGAAGAGATTCCACAGGATTGTCCTCTGACCTTTACATAGGATTCACATATCCCATACACACACACACACACACACACACACACACACACACACTCACACTCACACATGTAGTGGGGAGGGGAGGATGCAGCAGAGCAATCCCTGATCTCTGGGGACTGGCTTCCCTAACCTGTGCACTCCTCGTCACATTTGGTAAGAATCCTCATCACTAAAGTGTCAATAGTTCAGTTTTCTGCTATTTGTACCAGAAGAACCTGAAGAACAAGTATGAACAGATTTACACATAGTTTTACAAGACTATGTGCCTGGAGAAGTGCTGACTAGTGGGGAAGGAGCTGGCTTGCTGTGAACCGTCTAGGAAGTCAGGTGCCTGATCTACTGAGGGCTGCAAACTGTGGATGAGTCTACCACAGGAGGATCAGGAGTTTAAGGCAAGCCTGGGCTACAAGAAAGACAGAAGGAGGGAAGGAAGGAAGGAAGGAAGGAAGGAAGGAAGGAAGGAAGGAAGGAAGGAAGGGAAGGAGGGAGGAAAGAATTAAGAAGGAAGGAAGGAGGGAAGGAGGGAGAGAGGAAGGAGGAAAGGAAGGAAAGAGGGAAGGAAGGAAGGAAGGAAGGAAGGAAGGAAGGAAGGAAGGAAGGAAGCTAGCTAGCTAGTTGGTTATAGATGAGGACGAAGCATAGCTGAACAACAGTTGGTCTCCATACAGGTCACCTCCACATCTCTACTATCTCACACCACCAAGTAACACCATGCCTGACAGGCCACTGTCTCCATCTCAGTCAACCTTCTAGGGAGAAACAAAGGATTTCTTGTCAATGAGAATGAACTGGAGAGGTGTAGACACCAGCTTCCAAGCAGCTCAGGGAGTAGACATGAACAGATCGCAAACAGGACCCAGGGATTGTCTTTAAGGAGGAATCCCGGGTGCCTAAGCTGCTCATGGGATCAAGCAGCATTCTTTTATGAAGAAACTAACCAGCTGCAAGGAATCGTCCAGACTTTGGGCCTTGTAACCAGATGCTCTTTTGGGTCTGCACATGGAGACTTCCAGCCAACTTGCTGGGACCTATCTTCTAGGTATTCATGGTCAGCAATTAACTGGCGTTACTACAGCAGCCCCATCATGAAGCTGACCAGCCAAGCACAAAAGACAATGACACAGAAATGGGATAAACCTGGAATGAGCAAGAACCATGACGGAAAGCAGAAGAATTTAAAACCC